TTCTTCTTCTTCTTCTTCTTCTTCTAATCAAGTTTATAATTACCAGTGCAAAGCACGCAGTGCATGGGGAGGATAAAATATCAGATCTCTCATGCACCTCATTACAATATGACATGCATTGTCATTAAGCTCCTCCAACAAACGCTAACTGTCTTCTCCCAAAGCTAGTGTAAGTTCACAACGTTTCTTTGTTGACCGCAATGTTAATGTTGACCTTGTGGAAGACTCATTAGAAGAGAAAGTAATTAGAGATTTTGGAGAGAGATCACCCAAAGGACTATTAGAATTGTTGGCTTTTATTACCCTAATAATAGCATGGAGTGACATTTGGTCAAACGTGGTGGTTGTTTGGTTAATCTTTGACTATTTTGAGAAGACATAGTCAAACTTCTCGAGTCCAATTTAAAAGTACGCATAGGTAGTTAATCCTACTTCTCGTAGGGATATTATTTTGTCCACTTGGTAATGAATTAATGTTACTTGGAATACCATTTTTGTCCTTCGTCAAGTCAAGTCTTCTCTGGTTATAAAATTGAATGACACTCATACACACAATATTTATTTTTTATTAAAAAATAAATCAAAGTTGCATCATTCAAAATAAATATTTAAGGCTAAAGAAAATATAGCAAGTGACTAACTCATCATACTAGATAAATTTACTAACTTTTTTTAGTATATGAAAGAGAATTAAAAATTAATCCCTATTATGTTAGTCGTATTCTAAAATTTATTGAAGTATAATTAATTTTTTATAAAGTTTAAATGATAAAGACAGTGTTACAATAAACTATCGAACTCTTTACCAACTAAGCTAGTTGACATTTTCAATAAAATATATCGGATGAAGTTTTAAACCGTTAATTAAGAAAAGAATTGTTCAATAATTTAGAATTAGGAATAATTCTAAATTGAGCTTGAAAATTAACATACTCAATTAATATTGACTCAATTGTGATTTTATAAAAAACTGAATATTTGCCCAAAAATTAAAATTCTACAAGGACCATTTTCATATTATTTATCATAATATAGATTGATTAGGCTTGATCGACCACAACAATTATAGAATAATGAAACATAAGTATTCTCGATCTAAAATAGATTATTATAAGTGCATGATATGGGAGGATGGTTTGACAACATTCTTTGACCGGTTCAATCTATGAAATTGTTGGGTTCTTCCCCTCCAACGATGGAGTTGTTGAAGGCCAGAAAGTTCAAGATTATACAGCGATGGTATGGTAGATATCAAATACAAGTGCAATGATGCATGCATCTAAGTCCTAATAATTTAAGAGATTTGAATCCTTTTTCTATGTAACCTAATTGATTTGATCAGAAATCACACTCTATTTCAATTGCTTAGCTATTCCTATTCACTTAGATGAAAATAAAATACATCGATGAGTTTATCCAACGAGGGGTGAGATTAAGATGGTATCCTAAGCTCTCTTCTATTGTCTAAAACTCTTTTAATATTCGTTGCATTGATATATATATATATATATATATATATATATATATATATATATATATATATATAATTTATTTTTTGGGTTTTTTTAGAAAGATATTTCATTTTTTACTTTGCTCATTTGATTTTTTTTTAATATCATAAATACCTATTGTCGTCGTTTGTCGTCTTCGTCCCTCCGCGAGGTCTTATTATTATGAGGGCTTTTATTTCTTTCGATGACGTCTTATCATGTTTTTATCTTCTATATAACATAAATATATAAATAAATAAGCATATATATATATAATATTAAAGAAAGTACAACTGGTAGAGCTGTTAGTGTCACTCGTTGCTGAAGTCGTGCAGTCTGTCGCATCCCACGGCGTTTCCTTATACTACAAGCTGACACAATATGGTAGAGATATTGGTGTTACACGTAACTTAAGTCGTAACCCAAATGCCAAAGCCCTACGGTGTATCCCGTGATCTCGCACTCGCGCGAGCGACTCCTCTACGATCTAAAGCCCAAAGGTGGCTTCTTTCCCAGGAAGTCAGGGGAGAAACAATCGAAAGCCTGTAAGTAATTCGTTTCCGATTCTTATCGGTCAGGAAAAAAGAAATCCTTACTATGGCATTCTACCATGCCAAATTTCGATTATTCATGGTGAAATCATATCGTGGTTAGTTGCTTTTTTTGCATGATGGGAGAAAAGAAATGATCTTGACCATGGTTTTCCTTCCATTTTAGGTGATAGAGAGGCTAAAGGTTTAACCTTCCCCTTCAGTTTTGCGTCCAGAAGCTTGTTCTGTTATTGCTTCTCAAGAACATATTGGGAAGGTAGCTTGTTCCGATCCTTGAAAGCCACTGAATGGCTAAGATTTCTTTCACTAAAATGTCTTATTAAATAAATTTGGTAATGCTGGCGGCGTTCCATTTGAACATTCCCAAATGTAGCTTTCACAACATCACGGTCATATTTAATGTACCAACTATTCCATAAGTTTCTCAATCTCAGGATAACTACCTAAGTAGGGATTAAAATATAGGTCATGTTTCTACAGTGTACTATAAATGTTGGTGCTTGAAATTTATATCAGGTACAGACATGTGTGTCCATCGGAGAATGTATGTGAACTATTGATGCATGCCTCTGAACTCTGAAATTGCAACTTTTGATTTGTTTTTCTTCTTAGATGTTTCCTTTACATCACAATCAGTACATGTTAGTCCTGTTAATGCTGCTGCCACCAAGAATTTTGAAGTTTGGTGATATAAAGATTGACTCACTAGTTTTGATTTGTCGTTGTAATCATGTGGTCTGCAGTAGAATGATAGAGCTAATGTGATCACTCTTAGATGTTACGACTGTTCAATGCTAGTCGCTTGGCTTGTTCACTGCTACGAATGGTTGCCTGTCCATGTTCAGGGTGTGATGGATATATTTTGAAATGAATTCTAAAAATGTATGAGAAGCAACAAAATTTAAAGCATCATTTCCTTTGGTGCGTTCAATTTTTTGCATGGTGAATATATGCGGAACACCAGTCACTTTAGTTCTCTATTTTATAATGGTTGATCAATTGTTGGTTCCATCTGGTAACTTTCCTGATGCTTATATCTGATCTTTTCTCTATTTTGTAGATCCTTCCATGAAGCCATTCTTCATTTGTCATATTTGTATATATTATTTTTCTCCTTTTTTGTCTATAAAGTTCTATTCTCATAATTAACGAGCTCATTTTTTTAGGCAACAACACTTGATAACTTCTCAATGAAATTTTTGGTGCAAAATTTTCATCAATTATTTCTCAATATCTTAAGATAGTTCATCCATATCATAAGATGCTTGAAATGTCGCAAACCCAATCCAGTTGGCTATTTGTTTAATCTACGTGTCTTAGGAGTTTTGAAGTGGTGCCAAATTTTTATCCAATCTGCTTTTTTTTTGCAGTTCTGTTACTTGGTCATCATGTTCTAAATAATTTTTCCTGGACAAGTTTATAGTTTCTTAAGTACTACTTTAGGTTCATTGTTCCATCAGAATAAATGAAATATAGTTCTGTAGCCACGTAGGGTCTAAGCTGCAGGCTGCCAACATGTAAGCATGAGATTTAAAAAATTGGCTTCAATGCGATATTTGTCTGAATTTGTTCAATGTGTCCTGGTGTGAAAAAGTTGTCCCACTTCGTTCCAACGATGTAGGCTGCAAGAGAATTCCAGAATTTGTAAGCTGAAGCTTAGAGGCCATATCTCTCACTTGACATGTAAATTCTCTTTTTGCTTTAAAGTTTGAACTATGAAATCTAGACTGATTAAGGAGAATTTTCCAAGTAGTTGACTTATGTCTCTATTATGTTATTCCATCTTTTTATCTCAGAAAGCACAAATGGTTCCAAGAACTATTAAAATAGTGGCTCAAGCTCTGCCTGGATGTTAGTACATTCAATTCCTTCAAGTCTGTCCTCATCACTGAGGAACATTGCAACTTGCTCATCCACAAAACATAACAAACAAAGTGGGAAAATAATTTTTTCTATAAAAACTTTATTGATACAATTTCCTTCTACATCCTTAAGTGTCCTAGATATATACTATTTTCTGTATAGGACTCTAAGCATGGAGGGCCTAGCTTGCAATGCCTTCCTACCATTGTGATTGTCAAGTGAGAGACACTACAGTGTGCAGTTTTATGAAAGAGAAGCCACGAATTTTGGCCATCTATAAGCTATTATTTCATTCAATTTCATCTTGTAAATAGCAAAGCATTGAGAGCAAATAGAATTTGTTCTAGTTTTGTAAACTGAGGAAATATGTGTATAACAAAAAACATAACTAGAAGATGAAGGTAAACACAAGTTCTGACTAAGATTGCATTTATCTTGGAGTTAAATGATTGAGGTTCATCATCTATACTATCAACTTTTGATCCAATGTATACAACATCATATTTTTTTAGTGTCATTTTTATGTTAGACATTATTTTATATAAGAAAAATGGTCTGTTCTTGTGAAATTCTTCTCTTATATTGTATAGTAAAGAAATTATATCTGATAATGCTGTGATGTGTCCTCTTTGATTTAGTTTTGAGAAAGGGTTCTGACTTTTATAGTTCTAGTTTCTCTAGTAACCTGCTAATTTTGTATTTAAAGCCCATTTTGTTTTTTTTTTTTCTGGTTTCCTTACTTTGTGCTGATGTCATTTATTAGCTCGTAACAACTCCACATGCTTTTAATCATACTGCAGAAGGAATTTTCTTGTTAGCTTGCAACATATTCTACAAAAATGTAAGGAGAACTGACAAAGTATCAGGAACACAAGCTGACTATTTTAGATGTACTACTAAATGCAGGATACTGACAAGGTTAAATAAAAGTGTTTCTTTTTCTCAGATTGTAGTAAGAACTAGGTTTCACTGGTAGTATTAAGTAATGAATGGTGGAAAAGTAATGAGTGAAAGGCTTATTGTTTCTCCCTATGGCCTTTATTATCCCGACAGTTGTTTTTATCAATTAATTTTGCAGGTAAGATAAGGAAGAAAACAGCTTCAATTATGTAAAATAGAATACATAGTGACAAAGTAACACAATTAGAAGTAAGAATTTGTTGGTTTTGTTTTTTTTTTATATGTCAGATGTGCATCCCATTCTACCCTTATGCCTAGGCTATATTTTTAAATTGCAGAACTACGATGTTTCTCAATTTTTATCATGGAGTAAGGAGCATTAGTAAATACAGAAGTGTAGCTGATTGTAAGAGATGCAATATACTGATCTGCAATATTTATGCGCAAACTAAAATTTTGATGTATAAAAAACCTCTCTATGTTGTTGGTGATGTCTTTTTAGGTTCATATATCAATCACATTTAGTTGCTGTCTAAAGGACAGTGGACTATATTGATCTTGCTGACAATCATCATTCTCAACTAGTTTATGTGCACTAGCCATTGGAATATATTCACTCGTGAGTCGTGGCTATGGATCTTGGCATCAATTGATTGTTATGCTGTTATTCTCATTCATGGAGATCATCCACGTATGCTCACTATATGAATGTGGTATTTTGCCATCAAAAAGTCTCGGTAGTCTGGTTGTTTGTTCTCTTTTTTCTGCCATGTCTCATATGCTTTGCATTTGGTAAATGCATTTATTCTAAGATTTGATATAATTCACCATGTACTTATTGTTGTGTTTGATCTCTGTGGCTTCTTTCTCCACAATTTTGCAGTACTACTTTTCACCGAGTACATTTTTCAACTTGTAATTTTGGTCCATCCTTGTAGATAAGGATTTAGATTGATAAAGAAGTGCTATTCTTCATCAAATTTGTTAAACATAAATGATTTCAGAATGTACTGCTTGAGTTCACATATAATAATCATGTTGACTAGTGCGCATGGGTTCACGTACTCAAGTTCTAGTGATCAAACATGTGGAGGTAAACACTTTACATCATCAAATTTTTAAACAATTTGGTAGATGAAGGCAAGTTTTTTTACCCTAAAGTAAACTTCAAACTATTGACCTGTGTTCGGCAAATTCCTGAGAGTATGCTGTAATAATTGGAAAAACCTTGCCTTGGGTAATTTCATATAAATTTGCTTGACGCATTGTGCTGCCTTGTCCTTCCAGTTAAAAATGGTGTTTTAAAATGATCTAAATTCTATCTGTAGTTTGTTTTTCCTTTTTTGATTCGGATTCTCTTGTCACCATTTATTCATGAGAACTGTCTTTCTTTTCCAAAAGACAAATTAACTGTTTCTCCTGGCACTGTTTCTTGATGTTTGTTTACTTGATTCATAGAATATACAATAATCATGTGTTATCAGAGATGCCAAAGTTTGTCTCTTGTTCCCTATGCCATTATAGAAGATTTGTTTTTTCCCTTTGAGAAGATTCTGCATAAGAACATGTTATTTGTCTGCTCTTACTGTCTCAGCTAGTTCATAGGCAGTCTGCTTTTAGTCTACGGTTCCTTGATTGCTGTATCCTCATTTATGGTTTTTGTATACAATCGATGAAATTGCGTTGCCACTGAAATGGTTGGTGGTTATAATCTAATTGATAGGCTTCATGGTTATCAATCTCGATATGTAGATAGCCCGTGGCACTTCCAGCGTACTACTCTTTCCTGTGAAAAGCACATTCAAAATTTACTTCACTGAAGTTTTGGTGGTGCAACAACCGGAAGGAGATTTTTTCTATCTTACCCTGCTTTATAGGATCAATGCTTCTTACTAACTAGTTCTCTTTGCCATTCTATGTCGCTCTGAAAGTGCAGTACTGGTTTGGAAATCGGCGAGCAATCTAATTATCTTGTGCTTCTACTTCCTGAAAGATTCTGCTAAAAAACCACTGTCATGTTTATATATTGTCTCTCTATTCTTCCCTTCCTTTTAACTAGTATTTGCAATAGTATCATGGCTAAGCTCAATATTTCTACTACACCAGGCTGCATCTTACTGTTGTGTTTGCATTAAATTCCTATTACCTGATCTGAATTTCATGTTGTCCTCTATGATGAAGGTGTTTAGGTCTCTAAACAGTCACTGATTTGGAGGTTTTAGTCCTCTTTTCATGTGATTTGTTGTCCTCTTGTACAATGTGTGTATATTTATTGATAGAACTATCAGTTATGTATAAATCTGCATTATTCTTTTTCCTTGGCTGTTGATGATCCAGGTCGACATCGGGTTTCTTCTAATCAAGTGATCAGGATACATAACAGCTGGCCCCTAACCAAGTGTGCAGGTTAAGAAAGTTCAACTTGTTGATGCAACTCAGCTCTGTTGAAAGCAAAAGAAAGGAAGAATACCAGGAATGTAAGAATGAGCCTCAGGACCAAAAAGCCTTTGTGGAACAGTAGGTCCCTCCGCCCTCTCTCTTTCAGTCTCTCTCCTTTTTTGCCTTTTCTCCATAACTTGTTCTTGTGCCAGAGAAAGACACACACATCAAAAAGGAATAAAAAGGCAGGGAAAGTAAAAAAGGCCTTGACTTTCCCACTCTGCTACCAAGGTATCAGCATCAGGAGGAGAGCCCATTAAAGAGATTCACATCCATTGGAAAGATGATGCAGATGGTGGCTCCCTACCAAAATAAACAATAGGTATGCACCAGTGCCACAAGATGCTTCATCTAATGCCCACACTTTACCTGAAACTGGCACAGCATAGGCATGTGTCTCATACTTTCCCTAGACTTGAAAGACCTCAGATTCTAGGTAATGCCTAGAAGGTTATGGCCAGTAATAGATTATGTGAGATTGGCACGCACATCCTTTTTCTGGTTGTTCTGCTGGTTCATGATGATCCAAGTGGCAGTACTGCCATGGTTGAGAGTTATAGCCAAACCATTCCCTGTTCCTTACCTTTAAATGCTTCCAAAATGAGGTAAAATTAGTCGAGTAGCTATCAGATGAACGAAAAAGAGGTGGACAGAAAGAAATATTGGCTTCAGAAGTCTATTAATCTATGTTGGCTGCTGGAAAAGAGTTGTTATAATGCATCTCCAAGAGCTACCGACAGCAAGCCGAGACTTGTCAGAGATAAGGAAAGCAGAAGAACAAAAAGACGACCAAGCAAACCAAAGTCGAAACTTCCATTGAAGGATAGAGAAGTTAATATATGAGCTTGCAAGTCACTGAGAGCAAGAAGAACATTAGAAGAAGTACAGGGACTCAAGACTGTAACAAGCTTTATTTTGCACTCTTATTACCATATCTATTCACACAAGAAAAATCAATGCACACAGACCTGTAAAAAAAATCAGGAAAATTCTGTCACCCAAACCTTGCAAATTGAGTTGTAACTTTCCATGCTCTGTGTAGTCTTTCACGATCTATACTTGTCCGAATCCCACGGATAACATCTGGAAATCCTTGCCGTAGATGTCTGAAGACTGTAGCTGCTGCTGGATTTGGTGCCAGGATACTAGATCACTGAACACAGATGGGCTTTCTGCCTTGACGTCACAATGCAGAGGCTGGCTTAGGCTTTGGCTTTGGGTGGCTGCTGACACCGGGAAGGCGCCGTCGAGATACTGCGACCATTTGAGGTCCTCGGGCTCCTTTTCAAACTGGACCTGGGCATCCTTGTCCGGCGTTGACTCCGGCCAAAGAAAGATGTCATTGTGGAAGGAGCTGCTGTTCTGCATCTCTACTGTATCAGAACTGTTCATACTACTCCGACTACTATTTCCGGAGTAAACAGCATCACTGTACTGCATGCCATCGATACCAGCGCAGATCTGTGCCGAATTATCCATTGAAGTGGATAGGATTGTGGTTGGAACTGATGGTAAGCATGTGGATATTGTGTTGCGATGGAAGTCCTGATTCATCTCGAGCAGCCTACTGTTATGGCTGAGCCAGAGAGGATTCGGACAGGCCGATAGGTCGGCCAGGGCTGTCTCACTGCTGCTGCAGTCAGTGGCAAAGCTCAACTGTGCTAGGGGGAAGACACTCACTGGATCGGAGCTGCTTTGGCTGGTAATGAATTGGTCGAGGAAGAAGCATTTGGTCATCGGTGATGCCTTCCTCTCGACGGCGCACGTATCGAACACCGGCATTGAAGACGACGCCGGTCCGCGTGCTGCGTCATTCAAGCTCTCCAATGCTGCGGCGGGAACTTTGAGGTCGACGGAGCCGGACGTGCCTTCGCTGGTCCTGGAGGCTTTGGCTTCCCCCACTTTGTCCTCCGCGAGCGGCTTGTGGGTGTTGGGGTCGATCCCTCTCTGCTTGAGCATCTTCTTGATGCAGGAGTTCCAGAAGTTCTTGATCTCGTTGTCGGTCCTTCCCGGCAAGCGTGCTGCGATCTGCGACCACCTGGAGAAGTTGCCGGTCCAGAAACAAGAAGGCAAAAGGATCAGAGGCCCGAAACCTGACGGCGTTTGGGAGCTCAATATGGATAAAAGATGAGGAGGTGAGGGTCTTCTTCTACCTGTTTCCTAGCACTGCATGGAGTTCAATTATGAGATTCTCCTCCTGCTTTGAGAAGGACCCTCTCTTAAGATCAGGCCTCAGGTAGTTTATCCACCTCAGCCTGCAGCTCTTCCCACACCTCTGAAGTCCTGCATGCAGAAGAAACAATGGAGAATGATCAGATACAGAACAGTAAGGAAGGAAGGAGATGTTGAAGTTCCACGCATTGCGGCCTTAGGTGGCCGGTACTACATCACCTGCTTGTATGGGGACAGAGCTCCAACACCCATGGCCATATTTTGTTATGTGCTTGATGAGCTTTTCATCTTCCTCAGGAGACCACAGGCCTTTCCTCAGCTTTTGCTTGTAGCAGCATGTGTGCCTCCCCATTTCTGGTGAGACCCGAGGGGAATGCAGCAAGGCTTCCTGCCTGCGGAATTGACGGTGGGAGGAGCTTCGAGTGAACGAGGAACCCGAGAATGTGGAGGAAAGAGATAGGAGGGAGGCAGAGGAATTGAACTAACACTGGAGAAGGAATTGGAATTAGGAGAAGAAGGCCAAAGCTTAAAAGAGAGGGAGAGGGAGAGGGAGAGGGAGAGGGAGAGGGAGAGTCACAATCAAGTGGTTGGGATCGAGTTTAGCTTCTCTTTTCTCTCTTTTTCTTCCCCTTCTTTTCAAGGTGGAGAGAGGAAGGCTCAAATCATCTTCTGAATTGTTCATGCTTCAGAATAAATTGTCTGGTGCAGCCATGGTGGGTCAGCTCCTCTGATATTTTCAGTGAAAAAGCTCAGAATGTTCCCATGCTGATCACTCGTAAGGTCAAGTCAGTAAAAGTAACTTGGTAGCAGACATGCAACTCCATGAAGAACAATCCTCCTCCGAGCTGCCTCCATCTGAATTGTGATTGTAGCAACCCATCCCACCTATCAATGATGCTCCCTGCCACAAGCATCTCATGCAAGGACAACAATGTTGTATCTGGAAAGGTGGGACTGGGAGAGTCCTGTGGAGGCAAAGATATATCCTACATTAATTGGGTCTGTTTGCTGGAATGGCTGCATTCCTTCCTCCTGTCCAAAAGAAGCCAAAAGATAAAATTCCTGCTTGAGCTCTACATGATCCCCGAATCCATGGCCATGTTGGAAAAGCTTCATCATTGGGCAGAGACCAAACAAAAATTATGTGAGTATCAAATAACATAGCATCTTCCTTTCATCTTGACAACCATTATTGTTCTCTTGGAAACTTGATGGAGAAATTTGTTGTCTTCCATTGGGGGGGGGGGGGAATATATGTCCTGAGGCATCTGTATCTTTCTTAGTTGGTGCCCATGACAAACAAAAGCTGTGTTTTTGTTCTGTCCTTAACAAGAGAATCTGAAGCAGGTATTTTTATTCTTTGTTTCAGGAAATAAGAGGCATTGTTCACTGACACCAAGTAATTATCCAATTGATGGATGTTAACATATATTTCCACTGAGAGTACTCACACTGGTCCTCACTCCAACATTGATAGAGAACACCATGGCTGTATCACTTTCAGGCAGTTCAAAAATGTGCAGTGTGCTCAGGTTGCTGCATTTCCACAGAAGCCTCTGAAAGCCAATATGCTTTTGCATCATTTCATGCAATTCTCTCCTTTGAGTAAAAAGTGAAGCAGCAGATTAAAAGTGACACTTCGATGGTTACGCAATTAAAATGTTAAAAGTTGACAGAGAATAAATTGAAAACAATTATATTATGCAATCATATATTAAAAAGAATAAATTGTTTGGATTGCAGGAAAGGAAAGGAAAATAGTTTTGGTCCCTTTTTTATTGAGGGAAAACTATTCTTCTTCTTCTTCTGGAATTGTCATGCAAAGTTGATTGGAAAAATGAAAGGCGATTTCCTAAAGAAAAGCTTCTTTTTTTTATTCGCTTTTCTCCTTAAAAGGTATCCATTTCTCTCACCAAAACAAAACAAAACAAAAGAAATCTATTTTTTACTATTTTTATTTTTTTTTCAAATGATATATTCTATTTTGAATAATACTGAAAATATTCATTATCGATCCCAATGATACTTCAGTCTTCAAAATATCGTATAGACTAGTCTATAGGGCATACTGGTCCAAGTGAATGGATCGATCGACTTAATATTATGATCGTATACGTAGGGTGAGCGAACCTATTACAATATTTAGAGTTAAAAGTTTGATTTATTATATTTTTCAATAAATTTTTTTATTATGGTGATTAAAATATTATAACAAACTAATTTTTGGTGCCCCATTTGAGTTAACAAATTAGATGGTATCTACATAGACCAATGCAACCTATGGACCAACCTACAAGATGTCTTTAAAAATTGATGAGAAAAGTATCATTGGGTGGGTGAAAGATATTTTTAATATTATTTCAAAAAAAAGCTATCATTAAAAAAAAAGGGGGGTATCATTTAAACGAAAAAGAACTTTTTCAGAATAAATTTAACCTAACTCTAGGAATAAATTTCATGAAAAATTGATTTGTGCATGGCAGCATAATTTGCTGCCATCAATAATTACGACTCAATTGCATGATGGCATTATTGAGTCCATGTGATGCTATGCAAGTCTCCAATTGAATAAGAGATCGTAAAGTGCCAATGCTAATTGCATACTATTTGATGAACTCCACCACATCTTTTGTTTTTTTTTTTTTTTTTGTGGTTGGTGCCACATTGGATCAATTAGGATATGAGTTCTTTTGATAGAGAGGGCCAACATACCCTATCTCATTCAATATATATATATATATATATATATATATATATATATATATATATATATATATATATACTTTAAAATTCATCGATAAATCGTCGTCAATGTGACCCTAAAGTGATGCCACCTTTATGTAACATCTAATCAACTCAAGAACAATAAGACTACATATGATGACATTATGTACAGACTATCTACAAAATAGTGCCCAAAGTCCACTTTAGAGGCTTATAATTTTTGGAATGCATTGCCTTTTTGACCATAATATACAATTTGTAGGGAAGCCATCAATGCCATAAAGATTGGTACACATCGTAAAATAATTGTACTTGTGTTTTTATGGTTTTGATCCATATATATGTTTTTTTTTCCTTATCTATTTTATAATATTGATATGGTGTATCATAGCTAAAAAATATTGCCATACCATACTAAGGAAAGGTCAAATGGAATAAGACCTCAAGACATGGGGTTTGATTAGTGTATTATGCTTTCAACGTGCATCATATGGATGGATCCTTTCTTGAGGCATCTACAAGAAAAACAAAAACAAGTGGTCTCAAATGTTTTGTATTGTGCACTAATGACAATGGAATTGCAAATGATCAACCAATCTTTGATTTGATCTCATTCCATCTTTGAAGTAGCAAAAGGTAGAGAGTGATTTTGTTTTTGTACCAAAAGTAAATCATAGGTTGCTCTTACATGCTAATTTCAAATGGCTCAATAGTAGTTAATTTGGATTCAATCTATGTTTGTGGGATAAACTACAAATTGTACTAGATGGATGATAACAGTACCCTACAAAAAAGAAAAGAAAAATGGTAGGGAAAACCTAGTTTGAGACTATGGTAGGCCATTAATAAATTCAAAACTTTAATGTAGTCAAATATAGGAAGGACTAGTGACAAAAAATTATATTAAAGATAATGCACAATAACCCTAACTTGGTCCATTCTGAAGAATAAAGGGCTCCATGAAATAGTAGGGTTAACATCACAACACAAATGACCTAACTTTTGCAAAGAAGAAAGATATGTGAAATCTCCAGTGGGACCAGTTAAAACCATGGTGATTGGAATTGAATTTTACTCACCATCATCATCATCATGTATGTGATAGAAAACAAAATGATTTGATGGATGGACAAAGTTTCATGTGGCAATCATTCTATTAAATGAAGCAATTGTCATCCGTTCATCTCATCAATTAGCTGAGTTCATTTCATATGAAGCTTCATGCTATATTTTAATTCCTTTTTCCAAAAAATATATATATAAATTATTCTCCTCGACGCGTAAATTGCAATCCAAATCTCGAGTTCCTTAAAGGCTAAATATAAGTCCAGTGCATTAAGTTTTAACCATCCAATGAGAGCTTAATCCATCTGGTTCTTATATTACATTAGGAGATAACACAACATTGGATTTGAGTGTGAAGAAATGTGATTATGACTTTTTATTGGTGACTTGCTAAATGAACATTTCAATGAAAAGGACTGCCACGAGAATCACGTTTTCTTCACTTACTTGTGATGCTAAGATCCTCATTGTGTTGGTTTAAGTGTTTATATCCTACGACAATATTTTGGATGAGGTACCAAATCGGTGCAATGAATCACCCTTGTGGTGGTTGAAACAGCCAATTCATTGAAGGCGATGATACGTCCTCCTTGATGAAGAGGTGATGGCTGAGGCTTCGTCTTTCTTCTCTAGACATTGCCCCTTGGAACACAACAAGCAGGTGACTCCATCATGAGTCGAGAGAGAAAGAAACCCTGCTGACAATGGAATAAAGATGAGTTTATGCGAATTCGCATGGACTCTTACTTAATGATAGCATGATCAGAAGCTGATAACATGTGTGACAATTTAGTAATCTTCATTTTACATCACTTAGAATCCACATCATGATTGATGGCTCAAGAAAGAGGATTAATTAGAGGACTTGCCGCACATATGATTGATTACTTTAATCGGATCGTATTACGGGGACAAAGGGAAGAGACGCCAAAACGCACCTCGACCGACAAAGGAGCAGAAGAAGAGTCTCCTACTTGCTCGATGGTGTGACAAAAAAGTCAACTTCACGGTTCCTCTGGTACTCCATTATTGACGTGTTTGCTTGGTCCGTGAGACTCGAGATCGAATGCCCAGTTTTCTCTCCCACTTGCAGCTCATCTGCAGCTACACTGTTCTTCGTTCTATGGATCATCGCGTCTGTTCAATGACGTACTCCATTTTGAGCACCCGAATATATCAATGACCGGTGGTTAGTAGCAGCCTGAAGTGGTTGACAGGCACGTCTGCAAGTGCATTAAAGTACACCATGAATCAATCGGCAGTCACTGTTCATACAAACGAAACGACAGTAGTTCCCAGCTTTTGCAGTTTACACCGTCAACTTTGTGTGTAATTAATGGGTGCTCTCGGTCATCGACGATTGTGCAGTGTGTGCTTCAAGTTATTATATCTTTGATCGGGTCAAGGAAGACAAGGAGCAAAGAATTGCACCGTGCCTTTTTTTAATGCCTAAATTCATGAGTCTGAGGTAGAACAATATAAATCATAGTTAACACCATATTCCATATCTGCCTCTTTCACAAGGATAGCTCAAATTATGATTTGAACCTAAATTCAATATGTGTCAGTCACCCTATTCTTTTAATTTGTTCATCAACTATTAACGTTAAACTATCTGAGATAGCAGCAATATCAAACTATTGTTTGCATGTCCACTTGGGAATGGCATGCAACTGTGTAGAGTACTGTAATGTTCATGCCCGTCTTTGATCTATAAGCATGCAACTGTGTACTCTAGAGCCATGCCCACGCATGACAGTCTCTGCGTCCTTCCCCCTG